CAGGAGGCCGGAGTTGACCAAGTTGAAGTCATTGTACCTGGAGATCTACGCTGTGCTTCAGGAGCAGAAGCAGGACGAAGCTTCCTCTAAGCTTAAGCGGTGGGAAAGGACAAGGTGGCACGAGGTAGCTCAGGGACATACCTGGGGCTGGACTTGGAGAGCACCACATTGCAGAAGCCCAGTGCCCGAAGGTCACATTCCAGGCTATCCATGCATGTCCAGTCTAGGTATGGCCTCCTGAGCTATGGTTGAGGCCACCACCAATTCGGATGGCCACTTTGTAGAGACCTTCTCAAGGAAGGGTGTAGCAGGAAACCCTCAACACAAATACCGCATAGTGAAGAGGATGGCCATGTTTCAGCAGGCCTGAAGAAAAGGCCTCCAACCCCCTAGGACACTGGGGCATGCTGGGTAGAGGAGGGGTTATATAGAGATTAAAGACAATTTCTCTGTTTTTCTAGTGTCATGGCCTCCTGTAGGCGATGGTATAACCTGACAGTTTAGGAATACCTGTGATCATGATTGGACCATGTGTTCATCAATGGGGAGGTTTCTGTCTTCAATGGTTGAGAATTGAGTTGATGTTCCAGAAACACTCTATGACTTCATCAGTCTCTTACATCATTGTGGTGGAATTTCGGCCCACTCCCCTTTACGACGTTGTTCCAGTGAATTGCGGTTTGCAGACATTTGTCCTAAGGTCCCGCCACAGCATTTCAATCGGGTTGTGGTCTGGTCTTTGACTGGACCATTGCAACACATCGATCCCTTTCTGTTTCAGCCGTTCTGTTGTAGGTTTGCTGGTGTGCTTGGGATCATTGTCCTGTTGCATGACCCAACTTGGGCCAAGCTTTAGTCATCGGATGGATGGCCTCAGATTTGACCCTAGAATACTTTGGTATACAGAGGACTTCATGGTCAACTCAATGACTGCAAGGTGGCCAGGTCCTGTGGCTGCAAACCAAGCCCAAATCATCACCCCTCCACCATCGTGCTTGACAGTTGGTATGAGTGGTTTGTGCCGACATGCTGGGTCTGGTTTAGGCCAAACATCTCCACTTTGGTCTCGTCTGTCCGAAGGACGTTGTTCCGGAAGTCTTGTGGTTTGTTCAGATGCAGCTTTGCAAACCTAAGCCGTGCTGCCATGTTCTTTTCAGAGCAGGGGTCTCAAAGTACCATCCCGCAGGCCATTTAAAGCCCTGCAGGCTGGTTAGTTCTGGCCTGCAGGCAGGGCCACCTATAGAGGGTTAGAGCCGGCCCTCCTGTACCGGGCCTCATCAGGTCAGCAGGGGACAGAGAGGGGGCGCTTACAGGGGCGTAGCTAGGGTTGCCACCTGTCTAAAAATCACCCGCACAGTCTGGGTTTTGAGTCCTGCCAGCTGAAAGCCGGACACAAGATGTTTCGATGTCAGGGGGACAGGGGCAGCCACGGGGTCCTGGTGTTCCCACTTGAGTGCATGGAGGAGGCACGGGACATGGAGGGAGGCTGGAACTCAGGAAGCAAGGAGCTGTCTGCAACACAGATAAGTCACGAAGTCTGCTTCAGGCAGATATGTTGCTCACTATCTTCACTCTCTCCCCTGGCTGTCTTTCCTCACTCTCTCTCTCTTGGCTGTCTCTCCTCACTCTCTCTTGGCTGTCTCTCCTCACTCTCTCTCCCCTGGCTGTCTCTCTTCACTCTCTCCCCTGGCTGTCTCTCCTCTCTCTGTCCTGGTTGTCTCTCATCACTCTCTCTCCTGGTTGTCTCTCCTCACTCTCTCCCCTGGCTGTCTCTCCTCTCTCTGTCCTGGTTGTCTCTCATCACTCTCTCTCCTGGTTGTCTCTCCTCACTCTCTCCCCTGGCTGTCTCTCCTCTCTCTGTCCTGGTTGTCTCTCATCACTCTCTCTCCTGGCTGTCTCTCCTTGCTCTCTCTCTCTCTCCTGGCTGTCTCTCCTCACTCTCTGCCCTGGCTGTCTCTCCTCACTCTCTCCTGGCTGTATCTCCTCACTCTCTCTCCTGGCTGTCTCTCCTTGCCCTCTCTCCTCATGCAACCCCCATGGAAGAAGAAAACATGCCCAGTGGCCCCCAGATTTTCCGAGACCCCTGTTTTAGAGAGAAGCGGCTGTCTCCCGGCAACCCTTGCCAACAAACCGCACGTGTTCAGTCTTTTCCGAGTTGTACCGTCAGGAACTTTAACATTTAATAGGCCACCAGAGGACTGTGGAGTCTGAGATGGAACTTTTGGGGTTTCTGAAGCCTCTCTGAGCACTGCACGGTCTGACCTCGGGGTGAACTTGCTGGGACGTCCGCTCCTGGGAAGATTGCCAAGACTCTCGAATGTTCTCCACTTGTGAATAATCTTCCTCGTTGTAGAACGATGGACTCTGAATTGCTTATAAATGGCCTTATAACCTTCTCGCAGAGTGATGGGCAGCTATTGCTTCTCTACGATCATCGCTGAGGTCTTGGCATTGTGGGAACACACACCTGACCCCTCCAGTCCAGGAAACGGCTAAAACTTCTCCTTGTATAGAGGTGGCCACACTGGCTGAGGATCATCTAACCAAGAAGCATTTGATTAGCAGAACCCGGCTGATACGTGGCCTCCTAATTCCTATGGAAGCGGTGAGGGTGTACTTAGTTTTTCACACATGGCTTCTCCATTTGGGCTTTGTGTTGTAAAATAAATGATGACGCGGTGTAATATGTCACATGTTGTCAGGGAACCAGGGGTATCACCTCTCCTTGGGGGCCGCCGGGTACGGTGTAGGGCTCCTTCAGCCTGGCAGAGCTCCTGGCGCCGGGGCATGCACGAAATGCGAGCGCGTGGTGGACAGACTGAATCCATTAGGACCGTCAGGTGTGGGCCTTGCTAAGGGAGGTTCCCAGCACACAACTTTCCATCCCTCTCTTCCTGTCACTGGTTCCCGTACGGAGAAGCCTCCTGGTTGCCTCGGCGACCAGGTGGTGGTCTTGATTCCCCTGGCTATAAAACCTGGTCAGGGCGCTGGCTTGTTGCTAAGTTATTCCATCTCTATGGTGCGAACGCCTAGCCCCTTTGTTGGATCCGGCTGTCGCTTCCTGACTTCTCACCCGAACTTCCTGCTAACCGATCCCTCGGCCTGCCTACCGCTCTTGAATCCTAGCCGCCTGCCTCGACCCGGACTGGACCTCGACCACCCCTTTGGATTTGTGCTCTTGTACCTCGCTCTTTGGAACCTTCTTGCCCGCTTTGTGCCAGTGGGCTCCTCTCCACGCTGTTAGTCCGCGGCACCGTCTGATACGTGTTGTATGACGCGGTGTAATATGTCACTTGCTGTATGAGGCGGTGTAATAGGCCACGTGTTGTATGAGGTGGTGTAATAGGCCACGTGTTGTATGAGGCGGTGTAATAGGTCACATGTTGTGTGACGAGGTGTAATATGTCACGTGTTATTGTTCATCTGAGGTTGTATTTACCTCATTCTAAGACCAGCTGAGGACCAGATGATTTGTCCATAGAATTCAAACAGGGCGTACTTACTTATTCACATGACTGTAAAACTAAAACCTCCAGTATGAGCCGAACTTGTAGAGTTAAAAAAAAAGGAATAAAAGGAAAAGAAAAGAAGATTTATTGATACAAAGTTGAAGATAGGACTTCTAACAATCACCTTACAATGAATATCATGTATATATATTTGCCTTTTGATCAGGGAAATGTGAAATGTTCCATCTGAAGACGTCATATCTTCCACTTTCCTCCAGCAGGGGGCTCTCCGGAGTCCATGAAGCTGCCTGTGCAGACTGATCACTACTGCAGTGACATGGTCAGCCCCGTCATGTAGTCTGATCTCCCCTTCTCTTCATCCACAAGTCATATGTAGCTCCTCCCCCTCACCATGATGGAACGTTCTATGAAGCTTCTGCTGAAGAGCACGGGGAGGATAGACGACACTGCTAGAGGGACCCAACCAGCAGTGACCCCCCTCCTCCTCCTCTCACCTAGCACAGGAAGCCAGACACAACTTTGAAGACTTGAATGAACTCCTATTTCCTTATAAAGTGTTTCTTCCATTATAAAGATGAGAGGAGAGCCGAGTCATGTGATCTCTGAGGTATCTATCAAGGTGTGCTTCTTCCCAGGGTGACATCTCTGACCATTTCCTGTACTCAGGACACTACACCTCCAGGGTTGTGCGGGCTTCTCTGATGTTTTCACTTGCACTGGCGGATGGGGGTGATTAAAGACGACCGGCACAGTCAGCGGTCAAGGACCCCAAAGTGAGGTGGATGCGGCAGTGCTTGTCCATTCTAAGGTGGTGTAGGAAGGCCACAAAGTCAGCAGGTTTAGGGGGGTGCGGAAATGGCAGAGCAAAATGTTTGAGAGCAGTAACTCGGGGGACTCTGGAGGGGGGTTGGGGAGAGTGTTAGGAGGTGACATCTACTCACCACCCACCAATCAATACATCCACAAAGCCTGTGGAGCCCGCCCCCACCTCCGGGAGGAAGTCCTCAGTGACTGGGTCACACCATGTGCATACGCCACTGTCCTGGACCTGTAAAGCACCCTGGTCTACAAAGCAACAGCCCGAGGGGTACTGATCCGGAAACTGGGAAATAGCCGCCGTGGCTGGACATGGCCAGAAGAACTTGAGAGAAGAATCGATGAGACAAAAGGTCACTAAACTACCGCACATCTCCATCAGTAGAGAGGAGACGTCCATCACCTAAGGACACTAGCCAAAAAATAAGTATTTCCTGAAGGGGGAGGGGCTATATGAGGGTCCTTACAAATTTGGCCAGTGTCCACTCACCTGATATCTGCACATAGATGTCTCTGGATCTGCCTGTATCCTGTGCTGTACCATCAAGAAAACAGCTTTACCCACGTGATGTTCAACATGATGGGAGTTCCATGAGAAACCTTTTCCACACACACAGGATAGGAATTCGGCTTGGCCTCGGGCAATCTCTGATATACAAAAAGATGAATCTCCCTCATGTGAGATCTATAATGTCTGAGCAGTTGATGAAGAAATCACTTCCCACATTCATCGTAGGAATTTAGCTTCTCATCCGTTTGCAAACATTGATGACTGAAAATATAGGATTTCCGTGAATAACCTTTCCCACACTCAGGGCAGTAATATGGCTTCTCGCCTGTGTGTAATCTCATATGTGTTTTAAGATAGGCCCTTGCTGTAAAACATTTACCGCACTCAGGGCAGGAATATGGTTTCTCGCCTGTGTGTGATCTTTGATGTGTAGTAAAATTGGACTTATCTGAAAACGCTTTCCCGCACTCGGAGCAGGAATATGGCTTCTCCCCTGTGTGTGATCTCTGATGTTTGATAAGATGGCACTTTTTTGAAAAACTTCTCTGGCACTCGCTGCAGGAAAACGGCTTCTCCCCCGTGTGTATTCTTTGATGTCGGATAAGATCACACTTTTGAGCAAAGCCTTTCCCACACTCAGGGCAGGAATACGGCTTCTCCCCCGTGTGAGATCTGTAATGAGTGACAAGGTCTGATTTACGAAGGAAACAATTCCCGCACTCATAACAGTAAAAAGACTTGTCACCCATGTGAGAACTCAGATGAACACAAAGATCTGATTCAGAGGTAAAACTTTCCCCGCACTCAGAACAGGAAAACGTCTTCTCCTCCTGAATTCCGGCACCATCCCCCACAGGACGAGGTTGCTCAGAGTCAGAGGGATTCCATGCTCTATCCACACTGTGAAGTCCACCATCCATAGCTGAGATCATTGTCTCTTCTCCCGCACAATCTGCTGTGATGTCCTCATCTTCCATCTTACAACCTGGAGATAAAGTCAGAGGATCCTTTGAGGGTTTCTCCATGGCGTGTCCTGGAAACATAGAAACACATGATGGAGAGATATGAGAGGGTTAGATGACTTCACTCAACATTCCATCTGGATCAGGAGGTCTGAGGGAGCAGATGTTCTCTGTGGAGGTCCCAACCAGCCGGGACTCCTCCCGTCTTCAGCCAAAGGGCCTTTGGTCCTCCTCCCAGATCACTTCTACATTTACACAGCCCTGTCAGAAGAGGCGGAGCCAATGGGGACTGGGAGGGGCGTGCTCTTCACCCAACCACAAGCCTAGGCACTGGGCCATGTGATCTCTGATAAACAAGAGGTTCAGAATTCAGACCATTACCAACCTACTATTGGCTGATATCACTCAGATCCCGCCTTACTCTGGACCAATCAGTGTGCAGGAACAGAGCAGAGATAAGAGAAGAATATATTATGGGTCACCTGTGCCGATCTCTGTAGGAGTGTCCTCCTCTTTCATTGTCCTCATCATTCCACCCTCCTCCGTATGTTGCTGATCATCCCTCACATACGTCTCTTCTACGTCACCCTCAACTTTCACCTTCATCAGATCTTCACCCTAAACCAACAGAATGGCAGAAAGTCTCATCTTGTAGAGTCCACACATCATCTCCACATGTCAGAGTCTTCAATCCCTCAACTCCACCTACCTGATCATGGTGTGCATAGTTGTGATCTTCCTGTGTGGAATCCCGGGAATACAGAGGACGGGGACATCTCTCTGGTGGGTTCCTGTAGCTGGATGACTCCTCCAACACACCATCCTCATCCTCCTCTTCTTTTATCTCTTCTTTTACAACGATTTTAGAGTCACTCCGGTTAGGGTGAAATCCGGCCCTTACTGGCCCCCCACTGAAAATAGTCTCAACTGTGATATTTACATATGAATGGGTGGTGCTTTTTACATATAAATAAGACATGAATCATTCTCCCAAAAAATTTGTTGCCGTGCCGCTAGAGTGTTCGGGTTTCGCTTGAAGAAAAGGTGGCAACCTTACGCTGAGGTCCGCACTGCGTTGGAGGCTGGGAGTTGACATGTGCGACCTGCGGAGCTCCTCACAGCAAGTTCTCCCGTTCTGATCGTTGTCTTTCTGTCAGAGAACTGCTTCCTGGTGGAGGTGCAGCAGGGTGAGTGTCTGTGTTCCTTTGTTTGTGCCCTGATCGTTTGTCATCAGCGACAGTATCACCTCCCGGCCCCGGTGGAGCTGGAGGGGGAAGAGTATGTGAATGTGTAGATGCTGCTCTAAAATCTTCACTGTTACATACCTGTATAAGATATATATATATATGTACCGTGTTTCCCCGGCTCAAAAAAACACACGAGGTCTTATTTTAGGGGTAGGTCTTTTTTTTTTTTTCTTAATGCACAACAATCCGCACTTATTCATGTACAAACATATGGTGATCAGGGCAATCAGGGGCGCCGTACCTTTCCAAGAGCAATTTGCTAACCAATCGCTGGCCAGAATGAGGGAAGCGCACTTTCACTATGGATTCCTCACAGGCGGAGTGCATTTGGCATCACTCCGCCTGTGACAGGAGGCGGGGCTATAGAGGAGGCACCGGCTTATAGGGCTCTGCTCCCTCCGCTGCCGCCTCGCTTCCTCTAATGCTGGCTTCGCTGGTTCTCTCCCGCGGCTCTTCAAGTTCCCCTTTATGCCACCACCAGCCCTGGGAACGGTCACAACTTATTTTCGGGGTAGGTCTTATATTTAAACAATTCCCAAAAATAGTACTAGGTCTTATTTTCGGGGAAACAGGGTGTATGTGTATATATATCTCTCTTATACATACAGCTCTTTATTTGTGTGTGTGTGTATATATATATATAATGTGTTTGTGTGTAAGGGCTTGTGCACACCAATTGCGGTGTGTTCCAACTGCTGGAACGCACCACAATCGCTCACAAAACTCCGCCCTTCATTTTGGGGCAGGAGGGGCACATTGCAATCAGACGGGTGGCAAAACATTGCCTGCGTTCCGGTCACTGCCCGCAGTGGGACTGGACGGGTGGCAAAACATTGCCTGCGTTCCCGGTCCAGTGCGAACACAAAAAAATGCAGCGTGCCCTGGACTGGAATGCAGGCAATGTTTTGCCACCCGTCCAGTCGCACTGCCGGCAGGGGAGCGTGGACTTCAATGCACTGACACGCCTCTAGAAAGAAGGGTGGAGTTTAGTGTGCGGTTGCTGTGCATGGGATTGTACTCCCCATTGACACCCATCATGCCATAACATAAAACCTAAATAATAAAGTAAAACACAACAATGATTGTGGAATAACTATAGGCCACGCCCCTCTATTGGGTTTTAATCAATTTAACCAATAAATAGACTTTATGCTTTATTACCAAACAAAACCACTGCTAACCAGTAACAGACCAGCATGCTCTCCTTTATTTCCACAGTTACTCACTTTCCTTGTAATGGGTCCCCACAACTTGCCTTATTGGGGATTGGACTAAATGATTGGCCTTTTGATTCTAGAACTGTAGTCTCACATGTCCTTATAGCTGCTCGCCTGGCAATAGCGCGGGCTTGGAAACAATCGGAACCTCCGTCACTCAGCGTAGTTGTACAAATATTAAACACGCGTGTCCATTTTGAATTTTTGTTTGCAAAAGCTAATATGAAACTCCGCAATTTCAACTTACAATGGGCTTGCTGGTTGTCAAACAACAGATGCCTGACTCATGTATTATGAACCCAACTAATATTCCTAACAGTGTTAAAACACAAAAACAAAAAAAAAAAAAATGCTTTTATGTATTATTAGTCACTTCTTAGGCCTCCACAGTTATCACATGCTTTTTATTTGTTGTCGAGATGGTTGGAAGAACACTTCCTCCACTTACTGTCCTGAATATGTACTGCATTAGGGCTCTCTCCTATAGAGGTATGCTTCTATATATGACTACTTCTTCCAGTTATGGCACTTGCTAATTACTTATTAAGGCTGCAATTTCACTTAATTTTGACTTCTTCCATATACCTGGAACACTGCTTTATAACAATATAACATACCATTTACCTTATATATACTGATTTTGTTTATGTATTTATAGCAAGATTTTATTTTCTATATGTCTGTATCTATGTTGTATTATTTTTGTTATTATGTTCTATTGACAAAACCTAATAAATTCATTGTTAAAAAAAAAACAGACCAGCATGCTTAGTCACCACGACTCAAGCAGCAATACTACCCCATAAAGATTGACCGCGACAAGGGAAAGTACAGTAAAGGGGAGGCTGGGCTGGAAGCAGGTGAAAAGATCCAAAAGGGAGACTGAAGATAATCCAGAGGTGAGTCCAGCTGGCAGTCCTGAGGTAACTGCTGACCCCGCCCACTGACAGGAGTGACTATAGAGGGGAAAGGTTACACTCATTGGTCAGCTGTTTTCCCGCCAAAAGTCTGTCACCAATCCTGTGCTCAGCTGACTGAAGGTCTGTCCAGCAACTGAGGTAAATCTTCCTAGCAACAGCAGGCAGCTTGTAACCTGAAAGACAAAGCAGAAAGAACCAGCAATGCTGCCCCAGAGAGACAGGTACATGACAGTCACCACACACCTCTATTGAATATAATTAGATCTATAAACACATGGGTGATAGGGGCCACAATCCCATGGGGCCACTTTTCTTATTTTGCTTTTGTGGCCCTAACATTCCAGCAGCTACCGCTCTGGAACACACCGCAGTTGATGTGTTCCACAGTTGTGGTGTCACAGTTGATGTGACACCACACAGCCCCCGTTTTAGCTGACTGTCCGCATCACCTGGAAGTGCTGGCGGTTGTGAGCTGCAGAGAATCAGCAATCAATCAGGGAGGCGATGAGTTTAACATTGGGGGTACTGTGAACTCTGAGGGTGTTTATAAATATCTGGAAGTATTATACTTGCATTTACTTTCTTTAATACATGCAACATAAAAATATATCTTTCCTCACTTCTCCCCTGGCTGTCTCTCCTCGCTTCTTGCTATGCGGCGCTATAGTGTTCGGGTTTTGCAGGAAGAAAAGGTGGCAACCCTACCTCATCACCGGAGAACACTTGGCACTAAGCTGCAGGAACATCACTGACAATTTATTCTTCCTGCGTGATGTCATTTATTTTGACAGCCGTCAGAGTTAAAAAGAAAAAAAAACAACAACAGACAGCAATGGAATAAATAGCTAGGCTGCTATTGGCTATTCAATTTGCAATAGCCAATAGCAGGCTGGCAATTGCACTCGCCCACTGCTGCTGTCAATCAGCAGAGGAGGACCTGAAGGAACTACTCCTTGCTTTAGCACTGCTCGGAAACATCAGCATCTCTTCCATGCAGCGTGAAAGCCTTTAGTCAACGCGGAGGTGATGGAGATTTATCGGGATCTATTGAATTGACTGACACGCTGTCAGTAAGCAAGTGGCTGCCTATGAACTAGATCCATGTGTATCACCTGCAGCTCCGCGGTGACTAAAGGCTTTAACGCTGCATGTAAAAGATGCTGAGGTTTCCATGCCGTGTTAAAGCAAGGAGTAGAGGGGCGCAACTGTCGAATAAAAGCCTGTCAGGGACCAGAACACCTTCAGGTGGCACTGGAACCAGATACTGCAGTTCCAGTGCTCACCTGCAGGTGTCTCCAGGCAGCCAGTAGCTGTCAGGGACCTGAGCGCCTCCAGGTGGCACTTT